TTCACCCGAGTCAAAGAGAGGTTGTTGACTTATTGACCCAGAGAGAGAGACGGAGAGAGAGAGACAGAGAACTTGCACCGGACAAGTGGTCCGTATCTTCAGCTTCGCCATGCGTTGTCCCGCAAGCCAAGCATGGGGACAACCAACCATGCCCCGAGTACCACTGGCACTAACCTCAGAAAACGAAATACTTTCTACCATCACACCCCAAAAAAAAAAAAACCAAAATAAAAAACAAAATAAAAAGGCTGGAAGAGGAAAAATAAATAAATAAAATAATAATAATGAAAAGGGGGGAACTGAAAGCGAGGGGCAATTACGTCAATCAACACGGCGAGTCCCAGATTTTGCAGGGACAGTGATCGTGGTGGCGTGCGGGTCAAAAGAAAATTTTAGCATTTGGAGGGTGACGTGGAGAACATGATTGGGGGATTTGGCCAACTCAAACGGGGAGAGCAATAGCAATAGCAATAGCAATAGCAATAGCATCCCAGATTGGACTTTTCTTTTTTTAAATTTTTTTTTAAATAAATGAAATGAATGGAATGGCGTGGTCTCGCTGGGGGTGGAGTCAATGGTCAAAGTCGCTTTTGCCGACGGAGGCGACGGATATTTTAGGCTCGAAAGCTCCGCCGCTGGTTGGGTCGGGGTTGGAGGCGCCGGGGGGGACCACCGCCAGTTTCCCGATGACGTCGGGGAGTCCCACGTTCTCGCCCACCTTTTGGTCAAAGAGATGTCCTCGTTCTCTTTCCCCCTTCTCTTTTGATTCTGGTTTGTCAAATGGAGGAAGGAAAAACCAAGAGGTTCGTTCAATCGATTGTCATTATATTCGTTCGAAAACAAAAACTCGTGCCAAAACCAACGTGCCAACTTCCAACTTAAATTCCCGGTCGCGGGGTTTTAAAAATGCACCATGCGTTTTGCCGTGCTATCGCTTTGAATCTGAACTTTCAGAGAAATTTCGTGAGGAGGAAGATGTCGCGTCACCCGTTTGATTGATGGTTCTTTTCCCGTTTGCAATGAAAATTCGTGTCGGAATGCAAAATCCATCCACGCCCCGTTTTGTTTGTGTAGCAGAAAAGAAATTGATTTGGAAAATATTTTTTATTTTCCGCAAAATATTTTTCAAATCGTTCGTTTTTTCCGAAATAAACGCACCCTTAACCAAGATCAAACTTGTGATAATCCGATGAGCACTCGACTCAATATAAAAGTGGGTCGCTTTACAAATTATCTACCTTTAGTCATGCTTACTATAAATCTGGGTGAATACAAATAAAAATACATCACGTCTTTAATTATTGCGTCGGCTCACGGAGATATCCATTGCACGATCATTGTCCTCGAGAATTTTCTATCGTAAAACAACAATAATAATAATGAACCCATTGTGGTGAACATTGGAGTTGATCGATGAGCAAGCAGCTGGTCACCTGACTCGCCCCGGCTCGAGAGGCGCACAGGCGAACGGTGAGGCTTGGGGCGACGTTCCTGCATGGAAAAACCCCGACCCCCGACCCCCGCCCCACTGTGATCGGGTCTTGGATCGGCCCTCCGAGTGTTTTTCTACCTGTAACATTCCCATTTTCATGGATAGGCTCGGGCATTACTTCGGACCTGCTAAATGATCGCCTCTCGTGATAATAAGTCATTTCATTCACGTACGGAATCGTCTTTTGCTTCTCGTGCGACGTATTCGCATTCTTCCTTTTTTTTTATCCGGACCCGTAGTCTCTTCAATTCGCGGGACAAGTTTCGGAAAGAGGTTCCAAATGTCTCGTAATCCCCAAAGCCTATGGAACTACACATTTCGACCGCAACCATACCGAAGGTGTCCAAATGTCTCATACGCGGCGGCCCCCCCTTGAACGCGACGACGACGTGTCGTTTCGACATTCGGAGGCGTACGGAAACGGGCGCGTCTTTGGCGGAAGCTTCTCTCCCCGCCCCCGCCCCCCCCCCCCCCTCTCTCTCTCGCGTCGTTTTTGGGAGGGCCGTCGCGTTTTTTGCGCGTTAACGCTTTTCGTCCTTAACCCAATTAATCAAAATTGAAGAGTTCGTTTTTTGAATTTCTTTTTCCGGTTCCTCAAATTAATTTAATTGCTCGCGTCAGTCGATGCGCAACCGTCGAAAGATTTGTGAAGCTCAACGTACGGCTACGTGGGTCCACGTGAATTCAATTGCATGACTTTCCCGAACAAAATGAATCGGTCAAAGGACCATCGGGACGGCAAAATTAGGGGGTACCGTCGTTAAAAATCCTAAATCGATAGCCGTGGAATATTTTCTCAAACTAATCTTTCCATCACCCCCCCCCCCCCCCCCAAAAAAAAACCCCAAACCGAGATCTGCCCCCAAAATTAATTTTCGTCTCGCGAAAAAATCTCTCGGGTAAGTCTCGATCCGAATCTACCCTTGTTTGGATATCGATTTACCGTTTTTTGTGAGACGAAAATTAATTTGAAGCGAATGTTGTCACGAGATACTAGTTAGGGGTTTTTAATGATATATTAATTCAGAAGATTGTTGTTAAGTGGTTTTTCTAATCGATGGTCTTGAGCAACTCATCGATTCGATATTAGTAGAGTTAATTAATCCATAGATGAGAGAAGCAGCGTATGTAAAGTCCCAAATTTTCTTTGTAGTTTATTAATCATTGTCGTGGAGAATACCGGTTAAAAAATCCCCCGATACATGATTAGGTGGGAGCCGTGAATGGCTCTGCTACTGCTATGGATCTCATTCATTGCAGAAGCGGAACATCACGTGAGAATGGCATACGATTCGAGCATAAGTTGACCATGCACGATGATCCTTGACGGGGATTAAGAAAACGGGTTCGAGAATAATTAAGAAAAGTGATTCGGAGTCGGACACGCGAAAGCTTGCAATTTAGCGGCATCTCATGGTTTCTAGAATGCGGAGTCGACTTCCCCGCCTTTGTTTTCCTTCGGAGCGAAGAATTCCATTTGGATGATTAAGGTTAAGGTTAAGGTTAAGTAAGCATCCTAGTGAAATTCACAAGCAATCTTCCATTACATCAGCAATGACTCGAAATGGCGCAGGTTGTAATCTTCGATTGCGTTTCAAAAGTATCGTCGTCCTCGTCAATAATTGTAAAATAAGAGGGGCCAAGAGACGTGAGAAACTACGAACGAGGGAGCTTATTGGGCCATCAAAGGCCCCCAACTCAGCCCTTCTAGTGAGATAAAAAGAGCAAAATGAAGCTTCTCTTCTCCTTTGTGCAGCAGAAAGAAAAGGACAAAAAAAAAAATGAAAGAGAAGGGAGAGAGAGTTAGCAGGGAGAGAAAAGAGAGGGAAAAAAGAAAGGAGAAATCGATGGTGCGCGGTTGAAATCGTCAATTGATATCGGAAAACGCCATTTGAGCAAGTGATTGATAGGAGTTTTCTTGTTGTTTTTCTCTCTTACATGTACCTTTTGTTCTTAAAATCAGAATCTGAAACTTTATATGTGTCGACTTTACCAGTGATGCTCTGGCTGAGTTCGGGCTGTCCATAATAGTGATCGATTAGGTCCCTAACATCCCTAGGAACACGGAGAACTTCACGGATTGCAATTTTGAGCTTCCCGTTTGAGGGATATAATTTTTCGAAACTTTTGGAAACTACTATAACAGTAACTATGACCTCCAGTGTTCCGCGTCGAATTTCGTTGATTGCCAACCAAATTTTGGGTCGGAGGAGCTTTGGGTCTTCCAGTACAAAGAGCTTTCTTTTGAGTATAAACTCACTCGAAACGGTGTTCAGTCAAAAGATATATGATGCGCCAAAATTCGCCGAGCGAGATGGGACTAGATATGTTATAAGTTATGAACAAGACATCGCACACGTGATATTATTAAATAAAAGTGGTGTTTAGAGTTGCATGAAACTAGATCAGACGTTTGCAACCATATGACATGGAAAAGTATCTCTTAAAATAATTTGAGAATTGATTATTTGTGAGATTGGTTTGAGAAATACTTCATGAAATGGATTCTTTTTTATGGAAGGAATTGCCAAAGGTTATATATATTGATCGGCGAACCTGTTTTATTCCGAAATGGTTTTGCGACTGGTGGAGGAATTGTCTCGGTAGTTTATGCTATTGTCGCTATGATCTAATCCCACTGAAGGATTGTGAGTATGCTTACCGTTCTCAAGACGTATTGTATGGACCGATCCACCCGCTGATATAGGTGGAGGGCAAGGGCGTTGCGGTGAGGGTCGGCACTGACTATACTGCCATGACAGCAATTTCCTGCCAAAATTGTTCGAAATGATTAAATTGCCAATTCGTCAAAAAGTTTAGGACTAAATTGTCAAAATGTTTATGACTGAATTGGCATAAGTGTAATAGGTTTAAGATTTTTTTTGGTAATTTCTTCGATTTGTAATACTCACCGAGCAGAGATTTGCTTATACTGTTCATCTCAATTCTTTTCAGTTTCTACTACTACCGGCGAGTTGGACTAGAACGGAATCAGCAGGGGACTTTTTTTTTTTTTTTTTGGGTCGAAGGCAGGGGACTTTTGGGAGTTGAATTTAGGTATATACTTATTGGGGTTTTAGTTTGTTAGCATTGGAGATGAATATAATCTTTTTTGTGGACTTTAGAACCCTGACAAGTGACAACTTCCGGAAGGTCCGCTATGTCATTTTCCTGTGTGAAGCTTACTTTTCTAGATTTCTGGTGAATTTCAAGTTTAGGATCCATTTGGTTTGGACACTGGAAAAAAAATACTTTCCTAGTGAAAAGATCAAAAGATGATACCGAGGAGAAAAGACGACCACGAAAACATTAGTTGAAAATATTTACGTTGTCAATTGGGAAGAAATATACAGAACTCTTGACCAGCATAATTCTGTAGGCTCCTCTGTAGTTGTAGGATTGCTATTGAAAGTGAGGAGGAAAAATGAGAGGAGAAAAACAAAGTGCTCAGCCAGCAACACTGCCAAAACTTTTAATGTTGAGTCTGTTTGTTCTGCTGCTGCTGCTATAAGCTTGAGAGTAGTAGACGTTACATTCACTCAAGGACAAAATGTAGGGTACACTTAACTGATGTTATTTTTCTTTATACAAGGCTGGTTCTGACACAGTGCTACCCCACTTGCATAGGAATGCAATGGCAAGACAAATTCGTTTCCGAACGTTTGCATCGAAAGGATCTTTCTCGATAGTCATTTCAAGTCTCTGACGACATATGTCCGCAATTCGCCACAGTTTTTCAAGGCGCATTACCTGTTTTGCCGTCGTACCGAAGGTTTCTCGCTGCCGGAATGTAAATATCCATCTCTGCGGAAAGTTCAAGTTCAAACTCTTCCAACAGGGGACGGGGGAGGGAATGGAGCATATTTAGCTCGGCCTTGTTTTATCACAGACGGGGCTTTCATTGGGACCTTCCTATTCAAAGCCAGTTCTCCCACAGTGCTTATTTCAGGCGAGCAATCACCTTCAGATGGATCGGAAGAAGTTAGACAGCTAAGGACTGCAACGCATATGGAAAATGCTTGTAACAATGAGATCGACGAATCAAACTCGATGGAGTAGATCCCCTTCCTAAACGGTGCTAATCTGAAAATGGGGCTTCTCAGTTGAGCTTCTCCCTGCATAACGAGAACGGCACACAACATCATGAATGATAAAGCTGCACAAGATGCGTGATAGAAAGACGTCAATCATATCAAACAACTACCTGGACAAAAAGTTCGAGGCAATCTGAGATTGAGCAGGCTTTTGAGTTGGGAGTATTAGAGAAAGCATTCTGATTAGAGAGCACGCGCAATTTGCACCCAATGTCCCAGCCACCGCAATCACATGATCCACCAGATTTCCATCTGTAAACCAGCGGTGAAGGTTCCCCCTTGTTAGGCAAGCCGTGAACACCCCCTGGAAGTATTACCGTCACGGGGCAAGGTTTATGGTTTAAATTAGCAAACTTGCAATCGCAGTTATGCTCTAGTAAAGAATCTTCAGGGTTACAGTCACTCGAATTTTTACAGCAATCTGCTTGTTCTCCATCACATCTAAAACTATCAGCTCCTATCTTGAAGACAGCGGCTGCAAGTTCCCTGTTAGGTAGAAAGTCTGGCAACTCTGCATCTGCCTGTCTTGCACCAGACAAGACAAACTCTCTTGTAATAGTGTGCTCACCGAAACTTTCTGCTGCCAAATGAGAAAATGTTTTGTCCGTTACCTGCATCTGACCAACCATACTGTACTCAAAATCACCTCTTTTAACTTTGCTTCCTTGACCCATCCACCCACCTCTCTTCTTGATTTCATTAACAGAGTAAAAGGTGTAGCTACGACCAGCACCATCCTTTCCAGAAGGGGGTGAATCTTTCATTGTGGCTGCAAGAATGTTGCTATTGTTGTCAACCACAAACTTGAACAAAGGTAGCCCATTCTTTATAGTGAGCTGCAATAGAGCTTGAACTTTCGATTCGTCATGCTTTTCAACGACTAGCAGTTCATTGGCAGTTATTGGCCTAGGGCTCATCGAGTGCAACTTCCCTTTGAATGGCGTGATATTTTCAGCTAAACTATGAGAATTCGCTGATCTGGACTTCAGCAGCGGGTCCAGCAATCTTCTTAGAGGGCTAGACCTACCTCTTGTTGGAGCATTCACTTTCTCATGGCTTGAGATGTCAAGACAAGGAGCATCTCCAGTTCCCACTGGACCAGACTTGGCACTGACATATGTCGAGCTCAACTGCGGAACAGAAGCATTTTCTTTGAAGCTGAAACTCTTCCTCATCCGACCTAAACTAAAGCTGAATCGGCGGCTGGGAGATGAACTGCTGCCTCTTCTTGATTCCATTTCAGCTGCTTCTAGCTCCAGTATTTTCAGGTTAGCAGCTAGATTTTGATTCACCAGCGCACTGCTTGACCGGTGCTTCCGACCACATTTGACTTCTGAGGAAATATCAGTCAGTTTCTTTACACTAGGAAAATGGGGAGATGAATCAGGAGACAGCATCGCAGCTTGGTGAAGTATTTCACAATGAGTTGTGTCATGAGATGGCAGAGGACAGGAGTATGGAATTTCAGGACATAGTTCAGTGGAATGGTCCTCAGAGAGTAAGGAACCAGAGGAACTATTCTGATTTACTCGACACGAACTCTGAGCTGGGACTCTTATGATATCATTTTGCTGTGACATCTCTGCAAGATTGCTCTTGGGAAATCGTTTGGGTAAAAGAAGAACTATGTTTGTCTGCTTCCCAGAAGAGGACTTATAATCCAAATGTATATCTGAATCCCGAAGGCCATCAACTTTTTCATTAATTTCATCTTTTTTTGCAATCATAGAGACATTAAGTTTCCCTGATTCTGAAGATGATGAAGCACCTATACCTGAAGTGTTTTCTTGCTCTACATAATTTTCTGTAGAAACCGGTTGAGGGATTTCCGCAACCTTCTTCACTACACGAGCATCAAAACCTCTGAAATTCTCCTTTGAACTTCGAAAATTCCTGCGGTTTTTCGAGTTCGATGGATTATTGGTACCCGAAGCAATCCTTTTACCTTCTTCAGTCCTGCCGGTTTTATGCTTGATATTAGAATGGTTTCCTTCAGAAGATTCATATGTGGAAGCTAGTTTCTTCTTCATCTTCTCATCAAAAGTGAAATTGGAAACATATTCGGCATCTTGAGTGCGCATGACTTTTCGGTTAGCTGGTCTTGGACATTGAGAAAGACCAAAACTAGCGGAGGCCTGTAGCTTGCTTTTCTGAGCAAGTATCTCAGTGCGAGCATCACTGGGTAAGTTAAATGACCCTTTAGGGATATTCGACGACTTGTCGCTGCCATACAGAGATGAACTGAACCTACCTCTTCTAAAATCACAGTTTGGACTCGGCTTCCATTTCTCAAGATGTGCCCAATCAAGAACTCCGACATTCAGAGCCTTACCTTGAAGGTTTTTTCCCTTTTCCATGCTCTGGAGATAGCCCGGCAAGTTTTTCATGTGCTTGACAAGCTCATCATCCTTGGTGACCTTTCCCTTGAAGAACTGCTTCCGTTGATTTCCTGAAGTATTCTGGCAGATGGCTCGGGCATCTAAACTTTCTACTGGTTCACAACGCTGACGCACATTTTGCAGACATTGACGATTTTCAACCTTCAACTTTTCTGGGAACTTTATAATTTCAGACCCACGAGGTGACAAGATCCGCTCCTTCCCCTTCTTGGCGATCTGCTGAAGCTTTGGGTAATTTTTCACCTCAACGTCTGTTCCCATATCTCCAGCAGATACTAGATTTAAATTTCCAGATCAAACATCAGATGACATGACATTCTCAGAATTCACATCCGGGCTTTTGCCCACAGTTCACGGTGACAAATGGCTCTTCCGTGACAATCTGAATGTGCTACCGAACGGAAGGGTAAAAAAAAAAAAAGGCCCTGCAAACAAGGAGGACAACATGTGAAACAGAGGAAAAGGCCGAAGTGAATAAATGCAAGAAGGCGGTCCTTTTCTTCCATCTGCCACAAATAGATGACATGAGAAACGCATCAGGCCAGCATAATTCAGGGGATACAAGGAGAGTTTAGTCTCGATAAAAGAGTTAGTATTTCCACTTGCACATACGTAAGGCATGCACAATTATATGCTTCGAACATTCTAATGGACAAAAAACACTTACTTGCACGCACCCAGCCAAAAACCAAAAAATAAAAAGAAAACGCTGGCGTTGTTACAAGGACCCAATAGCAGAAACTTGCTGGTCTTTAACAATGGCAATGGGTAGGTGACAATAGCAGCTTTGCGTACTGGATTTTCTTCATCGTGAATGAAGGACGGACTGCCCAAATTTGGACCCGAAGACGAACTCTATGTTCTACATCGGCCTTTATATCAACGAAATCGTCCCGGGTTATTCACCGGCATTGCATGTAAACTCGGAGTCAATGCCATGGACGCCGGATCTAGTAACCAAAGCAAGAACCCAAAAGTTTCAAGCGCATAAAAAGGAAGATTCCCCGCGGAGTCCCCCAAGAAAATTAGATTCACGCTCCAAATGGATTATAGCTTACAAATCCAACTAGCAGACCAGCTAAGAAAGCTCCGAGACAATCCAAACAGGCTCGACAAACTCTCCCACTCTCCACGGGGCTCTCTCAGCCATCGAAACGAACGGAACGCGAAGATACGAAAAGAGATGACCCGGAACGCTCGGGGGGGCGGCGGCGAAATAGCCAAACGCACGGCGAGCCACCGCAACCCAAAAACAAGAGAGCACACGACCCGGCCACTCTTGGCGGGAGATCAGACAGAGAGCTTACCGGGAGACGAACGGCGGCGCGAACCGCGCGGGACCGCCGCGAACCCGGACGCGAATCGGGGGAACCGCCGGACGCCCACGACCCAGGATCCCCCCCCTCCCCGCCGGGAAGCGGAGCGGCGGCGAGGCAATGCGGCGAGAACAGAGGGAGACGAGGGTCGCGCCAAGAAATGGAGGCGGAACCGACGCCGACGGATCAGCACGTCAACTTGTATACACGCGCACGCACACTGTGCGTTACGGCTGGCTAGCTAGCTAGCAAAGGGCCCTGGATTGCTTCGGGGGAGCAAAAAAAGGACAAAAAGTTCGAGACGAAGTTGCAGACACACCACGACTCTCTCTCTCTCTATCTCCCGCAATTTTCTTCCGTCTCTCCCTCCATCACCGAGCAGGAGATGGAGGCGGAGGAGGGAAGGGGAGCGATGGAGGCGAGGGGGGGCGTTTCTGATCGGACGGCGGAGAGCCAACCGCGGGGGGGTTGGGTTGGCTGGGTGGGCCCCACGTGGCGAATTGTTTCCCAATACCGAATCCCGATGCTCGCGTGCCCACCGGGGGGGCCCCACCGCCACCGCTTTGGTCCCCCCCCCCCCCCCGGTCGTTGCGTCAGCCCAGATATACTGATTATTGTTATTATTATTATTATTTGGGATTATTGTTATTATTCGGGATTAATATTTGGGATTATTACTATTGTCAACGTGATCGATTCATACGAATCCGACATCCCAAAAGAATATTTCTTTCACCTTTCTTGCCCTAATTGTCTGGTACGCCAGAACCAGAATTCTCCAATCATATGGCATAAGGACAAAGATCACGGGTCCTACCGAATTCGTTTTCGCCCCCCGTGAAATCAGTCCTCAATCGTTGGTTGGATAGATGAATCCGGATTATCCTTCTTCGTTTTTTTTTTCCGAGAAAATTATCACGAATATAACCATAAATCTATTATACGGAGGCCAATTCAGTCATAAAAAAAGAGTTAATTTCTACTGCCGCTCATCATGCAAAGCGTGTACATTATTTTTTTTCTGTTTAATTATGAACATTTTGCTTTGTGGGGGGAAAGAAGCATTGAATCAAATAAATTTATATGATATCACCTAACGTCAATATAAAGTCGTTGCGAGAAATTTTTCTTAGAAATTCTCCGACGTCCAATGAGAACACATATATATTTTTTAATTTCGGTTGGAAAAAGTTCTTTCTCTTTGTTTTTTTATAAAGGCCAGCCAAATGCACGTTAGGCGGAGTCAACAAAAGAGGGAAACCATAGTCGAAATATTTGGTATGCTTTTTTGGTCAAAGAATTGGAGCATGTGATGGAGATCACAACTTTAGGATAGTGCTTAATTGGAATACTATTTCGTGTTCATTAGCTATTTGTCTGAAGTGAATATTGGTTTACAATATCGAACAGATGAAAATATCTAAAATATTGGTGACGAGTAAAATTTGAATCTAGATGTATCAATCGTAGCATAAGAACGAGTTCTATAGACTCACATGATCCGTCAGACGTTGCATGTCCAATATCCCCGAGCTAGCTATTTCATGTTGCGCTAGGGTTTGGCCTTTGAAATTCTTGGAATTGGATAACCGTGACTACTTTATTTATTCAATTCCTTTTTTTTTTTTGCCATAACTTGCTATGACTATTGACCGGTGATGTTTTTAGTCTACAAAATGAAGCGCGACAATATCATCAAAAAGAGCTGGGCGGCTAGCGACACGTTTCGTGTTCGAGGTACTATCGATGCGCTTCGGCACGGCGGTATTTACGCCGTAAACGAATCGGTTCGTTTATATACGATCTATAAAGAAGCGCTGTGTGGGAGCCGGTTGATTCAGAACGGTCAGACTCGTTTAAATGAAAATAGATCAGGATTATGTTCATATCGACAGGCACATCGTATCCATGTACGACTGAGAATGGTTTCTCAAATTTGCCGAACTTACCATTTTTTAGCAACTTGTAAGAATGTACTTAATGACTAATCTTCTGTTTACATAAAAATAAATAAATTTGACACGACATGGTTAGGGTAAAAGATGTATCGGGACAAAAAGTGAGCAAACCCCACTAAGACATTGCGGAGAGAATGTTTGGACTCTTGTTTCGGGGGAATCCCCTCTCTTTTGGGCTTTGTCTCATTCTAATCTCCTTTCTCATTGGTCCCCCGACAAAACTGTTTTTTTCTGTGGTAGTGGAAACTTGCGAGATCTCTTCTACTTTTGGAGTCTTTTTGCAAAAACATCGGGGATGGCTTTTTCCTTACGATTTCGGTTGTGCCCATTTCAAAATTAGCAATTTCCGATAAAAATTGACCAGAACAGAACGACTATATTGGAATTTCGCGCAAATTTTTAGGGCTAAATTGACAAAATTGGAGACTCAGAACTGAATCGACATCCGTATAGCAGATTTAAAAATGACCGGACGATTTCTCCGGAGTTTGTCCAAGCATTTTATATATCAATTTTGTAAATCGTAATCTTAATATACTTAGTGTTACGCGTCCTTTATTTATTTATTTATTTTTATTTTCAGTATCTTACCTTGATCGCCTAGTGTAAATGCAAACCTTTTCTTTTATATTTATCTCAATTGAAGTTTTAAATTGGTCACATCACCTAATGTGTTCATTGTGGTTTTGGCTCATGGGTCGAGTTGAGGCACGCTCAACCCCTCTCTAGCGTCGAGGTATAACGTGAAATTAAGAAAAGAGTTGACATTCTTCCATCAAAATTTGATAAGTTTCCAAATAAAATTGAAATGCTTTTTTTAATGTGTGATTCGATTGTAATTATTAAGATCGTGTTGCATAAAATAGAATATAGAGGATTAAGGACTTTAAATTTTGGCCGTTCGTCAATTGAAGATTTAAGATTCTATCTTGATTAATTGAGGAATTAAGCTTTTAAATAAATCTCCAATTAGGTCTCGAGTTCGCCGTTTGGAATTTAAGCGTCCGAAATTCGACGTGGCTCTAATTTGTATTATTTGGTCATTTACTTTTTTGTTTAGAAAAGTCCAATTTCATTTCATTAAGGGCAAGCCCAATCACAAGATAGAGGGCCGGGGCTTCTGAACAAACAAGATCCCGAAGAGCTTTTCGGATAAGAAATCTAACTTTGAGGTAGAGCTTTGGCTGCGTTTGGAAACACTTTGGGGGAAAGATTTTGGGAAAATGCAAAGAACTTTTAAAAGAGTTTTTTAAAATGCAAATTGTGTTTAGTAAGTTGTAACTTAAAAGTCCCTTGCAAAGTAACTTTAGGTAAAATAGTGTTTGGAAAAATTATACTTGCAAAGCAAATTTTTCATTTTTTATTAAAGGAAAGTTGAAACCCTTCGTCGGTCGGCGAAGGACGGGCGGCCGCCGGCAACCTAGATCTGGCGCCGGCGGCCATCGTCTGAGGCCGAACCGCGCGAAACCCAGGCGAGGCGAGCCTGGTCGATGGTCGCCGAGGGTTGCCCTCGGCCGTCTGGCCTCAGACGACTGCCGCGTGGCGTTAGATCTGGGTCGCCGGCGGCCTCGCCTGGGTTTTGCGACCCTCGTCGGGGGTCGCTTGACCCCAGGTGGCTCTTGTCGGCGATCGCCGGGGGTTGCCCGAGGCCGTTCGGCCTCAGACGACGGCCGCGCGGCGTCAGATCTAGGTCGCTAATGGCCTCGCCTGGGTTTCGCGACCCTCGTCAGGGGTCGCTTAACCCCAGGCGGCCCTCGTTGGTGGTTGCCGGAGGTTGCCTAAGGTTGTTCGGCCTCAGACGACCGTCACGCGGCGCCAGATCTAGGTCGTCGGCGGCCCTCGAGGGTCGTCTAGGTCGAGTGACCTCAGGCGGCCCTCGCCTGGGTCGCGTGGCCCCTCGCGGTGGTCGTGCAAGCCCAAGCGACGGTCGCTAGGTTGCGCGACCATGCCGGCCCCACTCCGGCTGGTCACCGTCGCCTCACAGCCACGCTGCTGAGGTCTCAGCGAAGAAGAAGATGAACAGTACAGACGAGGCCAAAATTGGAAAATAAAAAAAAAGATAAGGGTAGTTTCGGAAGAAATTTTTTTTCACTTATCCGGCACTGTTGCTTGCCGAGAATGCCCAAATGCCAAGGCACCTCCAAGGTTGCCTTCGGCTTTTGGCCTTTTGAAGGCCAACTTTGGCTCAATGGAGTTTCTAAAAAATCTTGCCAAACACCAAAATTTAGTCCAAGGGACTTTGGGCATCCAAAGCCCCTTGGCAAAGCTAATTCCAAACGCAGCCTTTACATCTCTGGCTTTTAACAACCTAGTCCGCTAACTTATTGGACTCTCCATGACAATGGGCTAATTTCAACTTGGAGAAATGGGCCAACTCAGACTTGCAGTCGGCGACAATGGCACCTACTTCCCAGCAGGAGAAAGATGCTTCAATAAGATGGCCGATCAAGCTTGAGTTGTGTTCAAGTGTGTAGTTTAGCTTAGGTCTTGACTTGAATATTTGGTCATTTAACACGTGTCATCTCGGGCCTGAATCGCAATGATAACAAACTCGAGATCTGGTCGTGGCTTTTTTTAAAGGGACGCACTCGCTTTTTGGCTAAAACACTCGTCAACACAATAATCTGACTATACTGCTATTTTTGGATCCTACTTTATAACATCTCTCTTCCGTCAATGCTCTAAGCAAGTGTTCCATTTTTTCTAGTCGTGTCCCTTTTTTTTAATTAATTTTCTATTTCTTTTCTTGTGAAGAGCCCGGCAAAAGTGGAGTCATTCGCGCCAATGAGGAGGAGGAGCTGGGAAGGGTGATGGGGAGGCTGAGGGTAGCGGCCTTGTGCCCTGCTTCCCATATCCAAAAACACCCTATGTTCATAACCTAGTCTTGAAAGATAGCACCACCGATCAATCAAGTGGTTAAAATTAGTCCAAAAACACATGTACCCGACATTAACATAAGCCAAACACCTAATGACCCACAACATGCCTTGTGGGCCGCAAGAATCAAGCAATCTGGCAACGATCATGTTCGTCTAGGACAACATAAACAGATGAAACGAAGGAAAGGAAAGAAAAAAATTCATCAAATTTAAAAAAATTATAAAATGGTCCATGTACCATGTGAGACGGTTTGCGTTGACTAGACTGCTATGTTAGCGATCTCTGACTAAAATCAAATGGAATGACTAAATCGGTAAATTGTTAAAATATTTATAACTAAATTGGCATAATTAAAAGGTTGAAGACTGAATTGATAACCGTACAATGGGTTTAGGATTTTTTGGACAATGATACCTCGAATAATCTACATCTCACTTTAAGAATTATGCTTTGCTTCCTTAATGCCATTTCTGGTATGAGTTCATGGCTTCAAGTGTTTTGGAACTAAAACCTCAAGGTGGTCGATGGATCGTAAATCAATAAAGGCAGAAAATAAAAGTGGAGATGAATTAAACCAGAAAAAAATACTTCAATTTCGGGACTTATTATACTTTTAAATTTCGGCTGTATAATGAGTTAGAGAAACACTGCAATTGTGATTTGAATTTCCATATCGGTACATTAGCAAATGTGTTCGGTTCATCATGCTGAAGTTTAGCAAAGACGTTATTGATTATTCCGTGCTTAGAAAGGGCTAAACTATCTCGTTTTTGTGGTGCTCTTGGATCAACACAAAGTTATTGAGCGACTGAGTTCTAACGCAAATTCATTGCACTTTAATTTCGAATCAAGTGTATCTCACGTGAAAGGCGTGTAATCTAGGGATTAGGATGAACTAGGTTGTTCCGGAGTTTTCTCTTCGATTGACTTGGCTGAAGTTCCCGAGGGCATTAGTTCGCGATTTCAGGTGTGGAAATGCCCACCTGGATTGGACTAGACCGATTTTTTTTTAACAAATTCGAAAAAAAAACCCTAATCACATGTTTAATCTTCACAGACTCTCAGTCACGATCGCTCATGCCTCTTCACAAACCTGAAAACCCTAATCACAGTCTTCACAACTCACGCTTGCTCACGCAGTCACTCTCACGCCTCGCTCGACTCTCAGTCACTCTCACGCAAGAGGGCGCTTCATCTTGGCCTCACTCCCGGCCTCTGAAGTAGAAGATCCAGAAAGCTTACGATTCAGCTAAGGCCCAACGAAGAAAAGAACTCCCCACTAATTATCTATTCCCCCCGAAATCTATGTTGGATTAGTCTCTAATGTTCACGATCTTTCTTTGAGTTGATGAAATTTCGGCATTTTCAACCATAACAAGAAAAGTCAACCTTTGCTTGAAATCGGATCGGGACCGGTCTAGTTCCATGACCAGATGGGCTAGTTCCTAGTTCCAGGATAAGAACTGATCCATTTTGGAATCGATCACCTCTACTAACAATGAGATTCGATTCGTCTTCAATCATAAACCGTCGCTCGAAATCCTAATATAGTCCTTTCTATCAATTTTTTGTCGGAAATCGCTAATGTGACGGTGTGTCACGTTGGATAACCAGCAATGATTGTATTGCTGCGTCAGTGATTTTCAAGGAAAATTGACCGGAAGGACTATATTGAAATTTCGTGCAAAATTTATGACTAAATCGGCTCATTTGAAAAGTTTAGGATTGAATTGACATCCATGTAATAAGTTTAAGATTTGATTTATTGGTCGGAGCACAATAAATTTAAAATTGATCGAGTAATTTTCCCGCCTACTAATAAATACCCCGGGTCAAAATAGCTAATCCGAGTGTTGACTAAATTCAGGATTGCATTGGCATATGAGAAGATAAAGTCGATGCTACTCGTCAATGGGAATGCCTTCATTTTAAATTTTATTTTTTTGCCACAAATGGGATCTTTTGACGTTGTGATCTTTGTCGATATTTGACCACGGGGGGGGGGACCAATTATTGAACATTGGAGGACAGACATCGGGTGAAATTACTTGATCCATTCATTCATTCGATCCCGTGAAAAGTCCATTTAGATCCATGGATGATGTGACCCTATACAACAAGCTGCTTTTTTTTTTTTGATCGAAGAACAAGCTGCTTTTAATTCCGTCACAGTTTTGGATGTGGCGTCCTTCTTCATTGTCATCATGTACCAATAATACCAGTACATAATCCTTCGCCTGTGCCGTAGAATAAAACTTCTGTCACGGGTAAATCGTGTCCTTAATTTACATAGTCGGCCACGAAAGCAAACGGTTACAAAATGACAAACTCATTCGTTTCGTTTTTCAATCGAAAAAAAGTTCGATAGGTATGATAAAGATCTCATTAGCAATTTTAGAATTACTCAATTGACCAATCTCAAGTAATCAATTGACCAGCGACTAAAAATCTGAAGTCTCGGAATATTTAAAGGTTGGGAATCCTCTAAGTAGGGGTGTCAAAGAGGCCCGGGAGTGAATAAAACCGAGCGACCCTTCAAGCGGGTCTTAAAATTCTTATTCGAGTTGTTCCAGGTTTTCGGGCCTCCGACGCTTAGGCCGTGTGCCCCGCCTGGTTATGTTGCTTTATAGGTGAGGTGTGCCCCGGATCTCATTGGACGTGCGAAACCCTCGCCTACGGCGACGCATGCTTCTCTCACGTGACCCTTTCCGCGACCAATTGAGGGGCATTTGTGGAATGAATAAGCTCTACTCACCCTCACGCGCAACACATTCTCTGATAAAAGAAGAAAAGCAGCCCTAATCGAGCAACTCGTGCCTCGCCCAATTTGCCATCAACGAACCCTACTAGACACTGCTAGACAGTTCGATCCACACAAGATGAAATCGTGAGACGAGCAGCTTCGCGTTTCGAACCCGCCAAACGTGGAAAAGAGAAGCATTAATTCCAAGCTAACCTGAACAAAATTTTTCCGAAGCACACCTCCCTCCTATTGTTCCAAGGAGGATCGACCAGGCAATAAAACCAAACATTTGATCGTGCAAATGACCATTAAAAAATTCAGGAAAGGTTCTATTAAAGCAAGTTAAAATGGGTTATATTCCTCCCTAGTTTCCAGAAGAAGCTGTCCACGAAGCTAAGTTCGATTCCTATGATGGGGCCAGTCATATCTACACATCTTCCTTTCCTTCATGGGGAATCCGAATTCGAATCCGGTGCTGGATTTGATCAAAAGAATTAGGACCACGAGGACTGACCGAAAGGGATAAATTCTAAGGTCAAAAAAATTCTGCTTGTCCAGCAAGGTGCCTGACAAATCATGGCACCATCGACCCTTCTTTCATGTCATTAAACGACATACACATAAACGATCCTAGTTGAAGCTAATGTCACAATTTCTTAGCGGCCACACAAGGCATTTTCATTGTAGTCCAACAATATCCTGGATACTTGCCAGGATTTCAACTCAAATTGCATCCGAGTAATTGTGTCAAAACTGTTATCACATATAAATTAGGCCACGTTGTCTCATGCAAAACTAAATAGTATATTTTTTATGGTTAAGTTTTAACGCCTATTGTAAGGCGGCCAATTCGGTTCTGATCCGTTATTTGAAAGAATTTAAGGGTGTCAAAATTCAAAGGACAAAGGAGTCAAATTACATATATCAAACGAAGCATAGGTAAAAGAAAATATATTTCGAAATTGAATTGAAAATCCACTTGATAAAATGTGGCACTGACATTGAATTTTGCCATGCCACACCATGCCACGTCTATTATTCCCTAATTAACGATCATCATCCTGGAAAAATGACAAAACTGCATAGATCCCAAATTATTCACCAAGGTGATGGCTCATGTGCATAATGGTCCATTATATCAATCTTATAGCACAATAACGTGGGCACCTGGAAGATATACTTTCATTATGAAATATAAAATATACGAGTCAAAAAAGCACTTTATGAAAAAAAGCATGTGCCTGATTTTGCGCATCAAATCGAGCACTGCAACAGATATCTCCAATTCCTTATGATATATGAACTAGTTATTTGGCACATGAAACTTCTTTTTTTTATAATCGTGAAGGATCTGTTTGTTTCGCGAAAAATAAATAAATTAAAAAATATTTTCAAAAAATTGATTGCTTATATTGCTTGAAATAACTAACCAATGAAAAATATTTTCATTATCGACAACAATTTATGTCTAGATATTTGTATATACGATGAAAACATTTTTCGTTTATTGATTTTGTAAACGATACAAGCGATCATTTTTATGAAAATAATCATTTATTTTTCACGAAACAAACGGAGCTAAAGAATCTGTACCATTTTTATTTGCGTCGGTAGCCATGGATAAACTCCAAGAGACATAAAGGGTGCCGCCACTCCTGCTAACGGGCGAGTCTAGGATGGATTCGAACCATGGAAGCCATGTATGGTACATGTAATACTACTCAAATGAGCGTAAATTATCTCTAAAAGCCTCAGAATTAATATAGACTAATTCTGCAATAATCGGAAGAAACTTCTTTTGCCCATCTGTAATCTCTAACTCTAGACATCATTTTTCATTTGAAACATTACGATACTGCTGTTTGGGTACTTAATATATTCAATAGATGTACTATTAGCCACCCGGCGATAGTAAGCCTGATGTCGGGCTTACGCCCATATAGTTTGGAGTTCCGTGGTTACATAATGAAATCCTTCGATCCCTCTTTCGATCTCGTTAAATCATGATTCATCTGTGGCCTCAATTCGACTTATGTGAAGCATAGGAGCCGCTCCATCTATCCCCACTAGCAATGGTAGAGGAGCAGCAGTGACGGACTCACTCTAATATGCAATAGTTGTGGTTTTGTACGAACATTCAACGTAAGGGGATTGACGATGTTACTCTTTTTCCCAAAGTACAAAATAGTGATAGGCATTATCCGTGAAAGTTGCTTTTCTTCTCCTATATAAACGCAGCTTTCCGTACTTCCCCAACACAAGCCAGTCCCTTCGGACCAAACACTAACCCATTCAACTCTCTCGATTGCATCTCCTCCACAGCAAGGCTTCGAAGAAAAGAAATACAAAGCAAGGAATGATGTCCGGCGCCCCAAGAGCCCGGAGAACCACCTTTTTCCACGACCCCTTCGCCCTCGACCCGTGGGACCCTTTCCCCCTCGATCCGTGGGACCCTTTTCAACAATTCCACCACCTTGGAGCGCCTTTCAGCCTCCCGGAGCCGCCGCGCCCTCGCCTCATGGCCGAGACGGTGGCATCGCCGCTCATGAACACGAGGATCGAACGGACTCAGACCCCGACGGCCCATGTCTTCAAGCTCGACCTCCCTGGGGTCAAGAGAGAGGAGGTGACGGTCGATTTGGAGGACGGTAGGGTGCTCAAGATCGCCGGTGAGAAGTGCGTCGAGAAGGAGGACCGGAGCGATAGGTGGCACCGCGTGGAGCGCGGCAGGGGCCGGTTCATGACGTCCTTCGTGTTGCCCGAGAATTGCAAGCCTCACGAGACGGAGGCGGCCATGGAGAATGGGGTGCTCACGATCAGGGTCCCAAAGCTCGAGGTGCGGAACGGGTGGGGAGAATCGGTTCGCTTGGCCGTCCGCTAGGACGATTGCAAGTATGATGACTTTAGTGAGGATACTCCTTTTAGGAGTCCTGTAATTGTTCGCTATGATAATTATGTTGCCGCGAATAGCTAAATAATTTGTTGGTTTTGCCCTTAAACTTAGGTTAAGTAAAGCATATGTAATAATAAATGTAATCTTATGAAAGTGAATACGGATATGGATCTACACATGATTGTAGTTTCAGATGTGCTTGCCACACTGACATCATGATTCTCCATATGTCCATAATTTGTATGTATGTATGTATGTATGTATGTATGTATAATGATTGAAGGGAATATTTATGTTTGCATGTTTCTTTACTAGTACACTGTTCTGCTTGGAAAACTGCTCATTAATACATATTGAGTAGATTAATAACATCTCGATATAAAAATGATCACGGAATATTGTGCTTTGTCTTTCTTTTATAAGCATTATAGATGGATCTCACGTCAAAGTATTCAAGTGTAATATGCATAAACTAGAAAAAATTGTTGCAGCTAATCTAATTCCTTTAAAATTAGGACAAGGAAATCAACAAGTCAATACTACTGAAACCCTAAACAGAAGTTGTAGAATTCAGTTATACATCTCCGAAAAGTCCCATCTATTGTCTCCACCGTATTAAGACTTGTGTTCATCCAGCTCTACTGCTCTCAACACCTAACTCAGTATTCGTCAAAAACCCTAACAGCCAACCATCCTCTCTCTCTCTCTCTCTCTGTCTCCTCTTCTCCCATCAACCACAGCTCATCGCCGCGTCTACCTCTGTTGTCGCCACCAGTGAAGTCGGCGTCATTAACCATGCCAAGCCACCGCCGAGCATCTAGGCTGCTCCACAGCCCACTGCCGTCTCGCTCCCTCCCTTTCTATTTCGCAGGGGTGGGCAACAGAGAAAACAACCATCGACCTTCGATTATATGTTGTTGGGTAGGTGAAGTTGAATATTTCAGTGCATCTCATAAATGAAATAGATCTCAAACCAGTATGACCTATGAAATTGGCAAGAATGACTCTGAAAATCCACGTTTGACAAAGGAATTTAAGTACGAGGTACTTATTGTTCTATGGTTTAAAAAGATGTTCCTAGCTTGCACAAGTACCCTCGTCCAACTGTGGAAGAACAATAGGACGATGTGGTTGTGAACATATTGGAAGTGCAAAACCAAGGTAATTTAATTCCCCCAGAGAGACAACAGCACAAATTCTGCTGTCTAGTCGGGCCGATCCAAGCCCTTTAGAGGCGTCTCGGGTCCTGCCCGATCCGGCTTTGTGGGCGCACAAACCTTAACTCAATCCACGGCGGATCTCTTCGGCGTGCATATCCGTTAGCTTTGGAGTTTGGATTACTTCTCTCACTTCTCATACTGATAACTTCATAAATATGAGATCATGCTTTCTAGATCAATGCCACGTTGATCAGAAAATTCACGGGCATACCATCCATGGAGATCCATCGATCAAAAAGTTCGAATATCCCGTTGCAATAGAGATATTATAGGCGACATCATAAGTTTTTGATAATGATGCCCCAACTGCATCTCGCTTTAGAAATGGGTAATGTGGTAATAGGTTGATAGTACATATCCGCAATCATCATACTTGAGAGTTGGAATATATCGAACTGTAAGAGATAGAAGAATACATTTCTCTGGTTATAAGATTTGAAGTTCAGATATGGTTAATCTCCGTTGGGGAGAACCGGGACAACAATTCACTAAGAACCAAGCCCAATCCAGGATCAATATCTCCCCCACAATTAAACCGACCGAAATTGACTTAATCCTAGCAACAACCAACAATATTTCAGCAATTCAACCTTGCACTAATAAGGAGACAAATACAACAACGACACCACTATTTAACGTGGAAACACAATGAGGGAAAAACCACGGACCTCGCAAAAAACTTCTACTAATCACAAAGAATAGTAGGATACACAAAGTTATTCTCTAGTCACACACTAGAGGCACAACATTATTTCCATTACCATAAAGGTGGATTTACATAAATAGAGAAAAAAATCCTAACCGCGATTAGAAAATTCGGAGGAGATTCTCAACGAACGAAACCGATTACTCGTAGCTCTCAGTCTCACGAACAACATACTAAAATTTGAGCCAATTCCGACAACGTTTAGCCCTCTAATCAGGATCACAAGCTGCAACCCCTTTTCTTCCTTCCTCTCCCTTGTTGTCTCGGTGAGCACTTTCTATTTTCTCTCTCATGGGCGCACTTGGGCACACGAAGCAGCCCCTTTTTCTTTCTTTTTGACTTTTCCCTTTTTTTTTTCTTTTTATCATATCGGCTTGGCCCCCACAAATGAGGCGGACCAGCTAACAAATCTCTCCTTCCGCCTTATGTGGAAAGTTCTATCATACCCGCCTTATTTCTACATGAATCAAGTTTCACCATGGGCGAGGCTTTTGTCATCATGTCGGATCCATTGTCTTTGGTATGAACTTTCTCAAGTAGAAAGAGCTTCTCTTCTAATTTTTCTCGAACCCAATGATACTTCACATCGATATGCTTCGATCTTGAATGCAACACCGGATTGGCACTCATGCTATCACAATATAGAATGGACTTTTCTTGCTTCAAGCCCAACTCTTGTAGGAAATTCTGCATCCACAAGAGTTCTTTATCTCCTTCGGTAACAGTGATATACTCCACTTCAGTCGTAGACAAAGAAACACATTTTTGCAATCTTGACTGCCATGAAACTGCTCCTCCTGCAAAAATCATCATGCAACCCAATGTGGACTTTCGAGAGTCAACATCACCAGCATAGTCCGCATCTAAATAGCCACTCAACTCAGGCTTTCCAATTCCATAACACAAGCAGAATCTGGAAGTGCCTCTAAGATATCTCAAAATCCATTTTACAGCAGCCTAATGCTCCTTACCTGGATTTGAGAGAAACCTACTCACAACACCAACTGCATGTGCAATATCTAGTCTTGTACAAACCATGGCATACATCAAACTACCCACGGCCAATGCATAAGAAATTTTCATCATCTCTTCCTTCTCTTTATCACTTGTAAGATACTTGTCACTACTCAACTTGAAATGACTAGCAAGTGGAGTACTTACCGGTTTACATGTGCTCATGTTGAATCTTTCCAACACCTTGTCAATGTACTTCTTTTGAAATAGCCAAAGTTTCCTGTTCAACTTGTCACGAATAATTTTCATGCGAAGGATTTGCTTAGTCGGACCAATATCCTTCATTGTAAAAGCTTTACTCAACTCATTTTTTAAACTCTTGATTTTCTTAGCATCATGCCTAACAATCAACATATCATCCACATAGAGTAGGAGGATAAGAAAATCATTATGCGAGAATCTTTTCATAAAGACACAAGAATCAGAGTTGGTTTTACCATACCCGTGATCTTTCATGAATGATTCAAACTTCATGTACCATTGCCTTGACGCTTGCTTGAGACCGTACAAACTTTTCCTCAACCTACATAGAAGATGCACCTTGCCTTCGATTATAAAACCCTCTGGTTGCTCCATATATATTTCTTCCTCTAAGTCTCTATGAAGAAAAGCTGTCTTTACATCAAGTTGTTCAATTTCTATATTCAATGTGGCGGCCAACCCAAGAACAACTCAAATAGAATGCATTTTTACAACTGGTGAAAATATCTCTTCAAAGTCAATTCCTTTCTTTTGACGAAAACCCTTCACAGTAAGCCTAGTTTTGTATCGTGATTGCAAACTATTTTCTTCCGTCTTCAACTTGTACACCCACTTATTTGTGAGTGTTCTCTTGCCCTTAGGCAACTTCACCAATTTAAATGTGTAATTCTCATGCAATGATTTGAGCTCCTCTCGCGTGGCTTTATACCACTCAATCTTTTGATCACATGACATAGCATCTTCATAAGTTTCTGGCTCTCCTGCATCAGCGAGTAACACGTACTCATGCAGCTGATATTTCTATGAGGGTCTACGTTCTCTTTCAGATCTTCTAACCTGAGGTAGAACCGGCTGTTCATGCTCAACTGGCTCCACTAGCTCAACTGGCTATTCTTGCTCAACTGTTTCACCATCTTCATGATTTCCATGTACTTCTCCCATGTGATTTCCACTCAATACTGTAGTACTTGGACTAAAACTAACATAACGTTAAGCTACATTCTTTGGCCTTCCTGGCATGTCGATGTCTTCAATGGTTTGATGCTCAAAGAATACCACATCTCGGCTTCTAATGACTTTCTTTGCAACTGGATCCCATAACCTGTAGCCAAACTCTTCATGCCCATAACCCAACAAGATACACTGTTTAGACTTGTCATCAAGCTTCAACCTTTCATCTCTTGGAATATGCACGGATATCCAACAACCGAATACTTTCAGGTAATTATACGAAACATCTTTCCCACTCCAAACTCTTTGCGGAACATCCCCCTAAAAGGAACCGATGCAGAAAGATTTATCAAATCAACTGCTGTTCTCGTCGCTTCACCCCAAAATAACTTGGGCAACTTCGCATGAGAGAGCATACACCGAATCTGATCATTAATTGGCCAGTTCATTCTCTCCGCCACTCCATTTTGTTGTGGTGTTTTTGAAATAGTCTTCTCAAGCTTGATACCATAATTCCTGCAAAAATGTTCAAACATGCCTCTATATTCACCACCATTGTCAGCTCGAACACATTTTAACTTCTTCTCGGTTTTTCTTTCCACGTTAACATGAAATTGTTTGAAAGCCACGAGCACCTGGTCTTTAGATTTCAAAGCAAAAGCCCACACTTTTCTAGAGTAGTCATCAATAAATGTCACAAAGTACAATGCACCACCAAGCGTTCTAGGATCCATGCAACAAACATCGGTGTAAATTAAATCAAGTACATTTGATTTCGTATGTGTAGAGGAACTATGAAATGACTTCATATTTCTCTCCTTCAATAGTAGGAGATTCTTTCTCGCAAGAGTTTCAAGCCCCTTCTCGCTGAGATGACCAAGTCTCATATGCCATTGGTTAACTGAGGAGTCCTCCACTATATTCACATCTTCCTTGACCAACTTAGCTTGCATGGTGTAGAGAGTGCATGTCTTCTTACCTTTAGCCACTATCATGGAACCCTTAGTCAATTTCCATTTGCCTTCACTGAAGGTATTGCACTAACCATCATCATCTAAGGCACCTGCGGAGATTAAGTAAAGTCAAATATCTAAAACATGTCTCACATTTTTCAGAAGCAAACTACAGCCAACGTCAGTCTCCAAATGAACGTCTCTCATGCCGATAACCTTGAAAACATCACTGTTTCCTATCCTAACACAACCAAAATCAACGCTACGATAGGAAGCAAAATAGTCACGCCGTGATGTGACATGAAATGAAGCTCCAGAATCAACAACTTAGCTAGAGTCTTGGCATGTAAGGTTCACACAACCATCGTCACATATAAACATAATATCGCCATCAGATGCAACTGCCGTTGTAGCCTGTTTCTCTTCTTTCTTTTGATCACCATTTTTGTCATGAGATTTATCTCTCTTTAACAACCAACACTTTTTGACATAATGTCCCATCTTGCCACAATTGTAGCACTTCACAGTCCTCCTCGGCCTTGACTTCGATCTTCCTCTTGACTTGTCCCTATTATCATTACTTTGAAACTTTATTGATTGAGTTCTCGCCCTGTTTTCTATGACAAGAGCCTCCGATTTAGAAGCATAATTCAAGCCCTTTCTCCTTGTTTCTTCATTGAAAAGGTTTTCTTTGACCATGCTCATAGAAAGCACATTGAAAGGAGCCAAATTGTTTAATGCCACAACCAAGGTGTCCCAACTATCGGAAGAGTACCAAGCAATAGACATGATTGCAATTCATCACCTAAGTCAATCTCAATATTTACACTCAAGTGTTCCGACATGCTATTTCCCTCATTGTATCTCAAATTCACAAGTCTTTTAACTAGAAAAGATTCATTCGCTCCCATTCTTTATCTTTATTAGCCTCATCACCCTCAACGGGATCAAACAAATCTTTGCAATATAACATGTCTTCCATCCGAGACTTCCAAATGTTGTAATTTGAGGCATTTAACTTAAACATGGTGCCGCTAGTTTCCTCCATTCAATACTAGAATCTCAACGCTAGCTTTGATACCACTTTGTTGGGGAGAACCGGGGCAATAATTCATCAAGAATCAAGCCCAATCTAGGATCAATATCTCCCCCACAATTAAACTAACCGAAATCGACTTAATCCTAGCAACAACCAACAATATTCCAGCAATTCAACCTTGCAATAATAAGGAGACAAATGCAACAACGACACTAAGATTTAACGTGAAAACCCAATGAGGGAAAAATCACGGACCGCCCCAGAAACTTTCACTAATCACCAAGAATAGTAGGATACATAAAGTTCTTCTTTGATCACACATTAGAGACACAATATCAATAATACAACGTTATTTCCATCATCACAAAGGTGGATTTACATAAATAAAGGAAAAAACCCTAACCGCGATTAGAGAATTCGGAGGAGATTCTCAACAAACGAAAATGATCAACTCGTAGCCTTCAGTCTTACAAATAACATACTAAAATTTGAGCCAATTCCGATAACGCTTGGCCCTCGAATTGGACCACAAGCCGCGGTCCGTTTCTTCCTTCCTCGCCCCTGTTCTCTCGGTAAGCACTTTCTATTTTATCTCTCATGGGCACACTTGGGCACATGAAGCAGCCCCTTTTTCTTTCTTTTTGACTTTTTGACTTTTCCTTTTTTTTTTCTTTTTTATCGTATTGGCTGGGCCCCACAAATGAGGCGGACCCAGCCAACAATATCTTTGGACGGGTAACGTTTGTATTCTGATACTTATGTTTTTGATGTTTCGAGATAGAGTTTAGTTTGAAGTGGGCTTAAACCCTGAGTTTTTGCCTATATCTTTGCGAACCAGAACCAGAAATCCGGCGCCGCAGCAATTTCTACCTGCTGCCATCAATTCTTTTCAGTCGATCAAACAGAAATCGCGCTTCGGCGCACACCACAGCGTCGCAATGCCGGAGACAATGCCCGCTCCGCCGCCGCATTACGGCTCCAACCGGAACTGCACGTGCATGCATCCCCGTAAGAAGATGGGGATGATGCACATGACCTTCTTCTGGGGCCACAACGCCGAGGTCCTCTTCGACCGGTGGCCAGGCGCCGACCCCAAGATGTACGCCGTCTCTCTCGCCGTCGTCTTTGCCATGGCCGCGCTCGTGGAGCTCCTCTCTGCCTGCAGGCTCGCCGGGCGATCGGGTTCGAAGGGTAACGTCGCCACGGGCGTCCTTAGGACGGTTCTCTTCACAGTGCGTTGCGGGCTGAACTACCTGGTGATGCTCGCCGTCATGTCGTTCAACGGTGGCATCTTCCTCGCTGCGGTCAGCGGCCACGCGCTCGGGTTCTTGGTCTTTGGCAGTCGGGTTTCTAAGAAGTCCGGCGGGCCGGGATCGGTGCCGGAGCGGGCTGTTCTTCCATCCGCCAGTTGCTGAGCCCCCTATAGCCGTCGTACATCGAACAAGTAAAGGTTCTTTTCATTTTTTGTTGAATAGTCTGAAGCTATTAGCATTTGAACCAAAACGCTATCTTTATTTTTATCATTGCGATCTTAATCTTCGTTGCGGTAATGCGAAGAAAATCATCAGTTTCTTTCAATTGGATCAGTTGAACTCGTCCTGTTTCTTTCGAAATTTGATTGTATATGTATTTTCGGCCGCAACTTTCACTAGAATGAACACCATGGGCCCGCGGACCAACGGCGAGTCGCATTATAAGTTTAAAGTAAAATCATATCTATTGGAGCGAGTATTACATAGGTTTCGTTATATTAGATCAAAACACCTGTGAGATCGACACGTATTTTCTGTTCGATTGAAGAAAACAAATTGGGTCTTGGCGGCCTAGACAGGCCTAGTTGGACCGGGCCGGTTCACCTTCCAAGCCCATCCGGAAACAACGGTTTAGGTTAGGTCATTTGTCGGACTTGTTTCAATTATGGACTTCCATGAATTAAACCTAGTTGAGATTAAGGGTCCGTTTGTTTCGCGAAAAACGAATGATTTGGAAAACTGTTATCCTATAATTCATGACTCGTATCCCTCACAAAAATGAATGTGTGGAAAATATTTTCATCGTCCACGGAAATGTTTACACATAAATCGTTGTTGGTAATGAAAAAATTTCTCGTTGACTAATTATTTTAAAAAGTACAAGCAATGAAATATAGAAATTTAGAAAAATAATTTTCAAATTATTCATTTTCCTCGAAATAAACCGTGTCTTAAGTAGGAAATGCCCGTTCCAATGGTTCTATCATCGGAGGAGGCCGTCCGGGCTGTCGAGGCCTACTAATCTTTTTCGGTCTATTGACCTCTTAGAGCAAACCCACTAACTATTTTGGACGAACAATTGATCCAAGTCTAAGCTCATGCAATCTCCTTTGAGGTGAGAATGAAGTCAACTACCAGGTCGGAATCGTGAATCATCGGGTTCTATATGGGAACTGATCTAAGATTAAAGTCGAACCATGAGCCCAAACACTGACAAATACCTGCATAACCATTCGATCAAGACTAGGATGCAGCTTTTATAATATATGTTTGGTGGAATAGCATCTACGGTCCCTCTACATTGACCCGATATTCAAAACCATCCCTTTACTCTCTTTTATTTTTAAAGCGGTTCCTCTACTTTTTAAAATATGTCTCACCGTTAGTCCTTTCATTATAATCTTTTAATTGCCGGTCGGTTTTTGCTTATGCGAAATGCATAATATTGACTATCGAAATACACGTGTCAGTTTTATAATCCGCTCAATTTGTACATGGCACCGCTAGGTGCCAAATCATCAACAAAAAAAAAAAAAAAACTGAAAAATAAACAATACCCAATTTGCTCTGTTTTTGCTGGTGTGAATCGTTGAATCACAGATATGGACCGTCGAAGTACATGTCTCATCTTATAATCTGCTCAATTTGTTTGTGGTGCCATAAGTGTCAAATCATTAAAAATAAATTTAAAAAAACCTAATCCTAAGTCACATCGATCGTGCCACTCGCCGCCGTTTCGTTCGAATTTGTTGGTCATGGCCGTGAGCTCGATCGACCAGCAACTCTGGGTGTTGCGGGCTCAAGCGGCCATATAAATACCGTGAGCCTCACCATCCGTGGATGCCACAGCCATAAGTAAGAGCTGATCGCAGCCGTGGACACTACGAGCTCAAGCGACCAGCAGCGATGAATGCCACAAGCTCGAGCTTGAGCTCTGGCAGCCATGGATATCGCGAACTCAAGCTCAAATGGCGAGCTGCCACAGATACCACGAACTCGAGCGGGTCGCTACCATGGATGCTACGAGCCCGAGGGGCGAGCGGCTACGGATGCTGCGAGCTCAAACTTGGGCAGCCACGGCCATGGATGCTGCGACCTGGCGCTCGAGCGGCGATGGATGCTACTAGCTCGAACTCAAGCGACCATAGCTGTGAGAGAGAGTTAAAGATGAGAAGAGGGAGCAAGAAGGAGAGAGGGCGGGGTAAGATTTTTTAGACAGTCCACATTAGTAAATGTCTAAAGACTTTTTGAGTCCATGTCAGTAACGTTCGGCATCGAACCGATTTAGGGATGGCCCGTGACACTTGCTCAAAGTTGGAGAACAGTTTTGTACCAAAAAAGTAGAGGGATGACTTTCAATTTTGGACAAAAGTAAAAGGAGTATTGTCATGATGGATTAGAAATTCGAGATAGGTTTGTGATTCCAAACTTTCAAAAATGGGACTTTAGCGGGGAACTAAGAGCGCAAATGACAATATTTCTCTTTCCCGGCCCTATTTCTATCTAGATAAAAAAATCTATTTCTCTTTCCCAGACGAGTTTCTGAGCAAAAAATAGCGTTTGATAATGACACAAAATTTTTGTTTCCGAAATAGAAATTCGTTTGATAACGACGCAAAATTTCTATTCTCACTGGCCGGTGAACGGCGGCGTGAGAGGGGGAGGGCGGCGGCGGACGGTCGATCGGCGGTGGGGGGGGCGGCGGCGACGGCGGATGGCCGGTGAAAGGCAACGGTGGTAGGTGGCGGCAAACGGCCGACAGTGAGTGGGCGGCGGTGGGCGGCAAGAGTGAGCAATAAAAGAGAACTGTTATTTCTATTTCTGTTCCAGAAACACAAAAAGTAAAAAATTTAACTTCTCATTTCTATTCCAAATCTATTTCTTGACCAAAATTTGTCCCAGAAATAAAAAAATGAAATTATTTTACCAAACGGATTTCTATTCCAAACTTATTCCTGGGAACAAAAAAATAGAAAAACAGGGAAACAGAATGGTTATCATTCGCGCCTAGTCATGGCCACGGGCCGGTTTCGGCCCGGAACCGGCCCTGTCAAACCCGGACCCGGCCCGTTGACCGGGCCCGCGGTTGGAACCGAACCGCCCATGGCCTACGGGCCCTGCTTCCTTCCAAAAAATTTAAAAAAAAAAAAGCACCTGCGGCTCGCACGTCCGTGCCGAGCCTGCTGCTGTTTCCAAGGCGGCCTGCAAAGGCCTTTGAAACGGCAAAAATAAAATAAAAAATAAAATAAAAAGAAAACCCATCTGAACTTCTCCCGTTCTCTCCCTCTCTCTACTATGACGATGTGGCGCGGATGCGACGCCGATGGAGCTAATCCCCGGCGGCGGCGCAAGGCGACGAGGAGCTACGAGCGCCAGCCGGATCACCGTCGCGATGCGCGGATGCGAGGAGCCTTCGAGAGACCGAGACGACGCCTGTGTCCGAAGTCCTTCCCTCCCTCCCTCTCTCTCTCCGAGTCCAAACCACAACGAACCGAACGAAGCATCGAAACTCGGGAGCGTGCGGCGCGAGAGATTCCCACTGGCCCGCCGGCAATGTGACGATCCGGCGAGCAGGAAAGAGAGCGCACGAGGGAGGAGTAGCATAAGAAGAAGAAGAAGAAGATCCGACGTGCCGTCCCGCCGCCGGATTCGATGCACCCGTACAATCGGCTCCCGAGCAGCGGACACTCTAGGTTCGGAACCGGCTAAAATCGGAACCGGCCTGGAACCAGCCGGTTCCGGTTCATACATGGCCATGAACCGGAACCGCCGGTTCCGAACCGGAACCAGCGGTTCCTGAACCGTGGCCATGACTGTTCGTGCCCTAATCGACCCGAGAACTGATCATCAATACTAATGTACAAAAGTCTATCTTAACTTTTAAGCAAGACCTGTTTTCCCCCCGCCTTTGCCCTCTTCTGTTTGATTACATCTTTCTTCAAAACAAGACATGCTTGTAAGTTACTTATTCACATGTACTCGGTGTGTTTTGGCATATATTCATTGGGTCATGGGCTTGGAATTGCTAAGCCCCATGTAGCCATCTTCGCCCAACTAATTCTAATTTATCTATTACCTACCTCGAGAAGTACGTTCACGGGGAAGATGATAGAAACTTTATTTATATGTGTAGCGGGTACTATGTTTGGAAACAAAACCGTGCGCTCTTAGTTGAGCCAAACATGCATAGTAAATTTATGGACACGTTCGTACGAGTATCCACTCACACGTCACGACGTAATGCCCTCGTGACCAGTGGCATAATTTCATACCAGCAATTTGTAGAGATGGTGGTACTATTGATGGGAAGAAGCTGCCAAGTAGGGTTGAGTTGGTGGGTTGGTTGAGCAACCGTTGAATGGGGGGAGCCTTCTCGTGCACGCATAGACTGAAGCATGAAAATCAATCATAGGAAATAGATCACTATTATATACATAGAAACTCGTTCTAATCATCGTGGGATGGAAAATAAAATTTGGAGTAAAATTGAAAATGCACACTTACAGAAAATGAGTATTTTCATGTCAAATATTGAATCACATAAGTTGTTTCTTCTTCTTCTTTTTGTTTGATAACTCAAGGACACTGGCGTCGGATACCGATTACCTGTAGGTCCATGAAACAACCTGTAAACCCTATAAATCGATTAAGTTCGGGCAAATAGTCTATGCATGTGACCCCGACTCAAAGCAGTTTAAACACGCTCGATCCGATTCGAACGAGCTACCTCTAAATCCCGAATTGAAAATCCCCTTACGCCCCAATTAGCGGCGTAGGCTCCGGGATTCGATCTCGTAGTTTCTTTAACATATTTGACTGAACAAAATACAAAACATGTGGGGGCAAGTCGTGGAAGTGGGTCGCATGAATCAAGCACATTGGGGAAGAATTGAGGAGAACGGGGCGGAGAGATTTGTCCTTGCATGAAGGAGGATCGAGTGTTACCCAACTTCAAGGGAACATGAAGTGCACGACCTGCTCAGCCCAACCACCACATTCGAACTGAAGCAAGAAGTCAACTCACCTGGCCTTCCTGTCTTTCGATTTTGTTCTTATCATTATTATCGTGATTATCATTATCACTATTGACGTGATAATAGTAATTATTATGGATAATGACTCTGAGTTTTTGCAACTTTACTACTTTGCATCTTGTGCTTTTAAACATATAATCCTTGCAACTTTGAACCAAACTGCATGCCTGGAAAGATCTAATCATTCTTCTTAGGAAAGCATGCTCAAAATTTACTAATCTCTACCGTCCTACGCAAGCCCTAGACCTAATCAGCGGAAAAATTACAAG